TCATGTGAAATATGAACTTGTTGGAAATTGTCTCTTGTGAGTGTATGGTATAGGTAAAGAATAGCAAGTCTTCCTAAGCATGCCACGCTCATGAACTAACCTCCCCTATCATCTCTATATCACTGACTTGCCTATCTCACATGTAAGACGTTCCTTTGCCTACTTTAAGACTAACCAACTAACAGGTTTAGTGTGTGTTCTGTCCCTCTGATCTCTTTCTCCTCTCTGCAGGTTGTGGTACTGTGTTTTATTCTTGCCTTGGGGTCCATGATTCCATCCTTCCCAGAATTCTCTTCGGGGTCTCAGACAGTGAAGTCGGCCCCTCCTTTGGCACCTGACTTGTATACCCTCAGCCAGGGTAAGACAGTCACCTGAACGCTCTCTTCGTCTACCTTTCCTTTCTCGGCAGCAGGACAGAGTTGTGACGTGGAACTGATGTCAATGTATCATGAACATTAGACAACTTCTGTCCTTGTGCTAACCATGCATGCATCAGATTTCCATGAGATTGGTGATTTAGATGTCAGTAGATACATGATCGATCAGATGTTGAAATGGATTGCTTGATATAAGAGCAGCAGCAATTTTGCCTGCATTGATTTAATTGCTATTGATGACAAAGCTAATCAGAATAATAAGGATGGCGTCACTGGGAAGGGCATCCCCCAACCTCCTATACTTACATTACATGGTAGCTCCATGATCCTCTACAGCCAGTGCTGAACTTGGCAATGTCGCTGACCCAGGGAGCAAGGAAGTAATTCCCCAGTCATGTTCAGGCCTAGCATTTAGGCCTTGTTCACACCAAATGCAGAGCAGATCCGGTCAGGTTTCTGCACACGCACGCTAGTCTTTTAGATGCGTTTTTGGCTAAAAAAAAAATTTTTTTCTTCAAAGTTTAAAATGGGCTTTCAGTGCGTTCCAGGCATTTGCATGCGTTTTTGATGCGTTTGCAGATCCAGAGCAGGTAAAATAGGGCCTGCAGCAGTTTTTTTCACCTGCTCTGGAACTGCACGCTGCGATGTGAACTGGAGCAAAAAATACCATTGGAATACATTGGACGCAGTTTTGATCCGGTCTGCAACTGATCTGCTCTGCGCTCGGTGTGAACAAGGCCTTAGGCACCATCACAAGGGAGCATGTCACAAGCTCCTCTGTACATGGAAGACTTTAGTATTCCCATACACTGCAGAGGAGCAAGGAGGGGAGCGGTTGCACGGTTAAGGTAAGTATATGGAGGTCGGTGGATGCCCTTAGTAGACACACTGTCACTTTTCCCGGCATGGGCAAGGTGTCTTTAGGTCTGCCATGAAATAATTGCTGAGCCAACCAACATTGTATTTCTTACTTTGGCAGATTGTGTCTGTCTTATTGGAGGCTTTTGTTCTATGTTTGTCCAATAACAGATTTGTGCATCGTGCTTTTGTCTTGCAGTCCGCTCCCGAAATCTCTTGTCCTACGACGAAGGGACCGGAGTTTCAGAAGAGGATCCCAGCCCAGGTCTGGGATTTCACGGAAGGGGAAGCTGGGCTGCCGACACAGCAGTTCTCAGCAAACATCTCCAAAACACGGCTCATGAAAGGGACAAATATCTTGCCGAAACAGAACGCAAGAACCGGACACATAGAGAGTTCACAAGACAAAAAGAGGGGTGAGTACCCGTCTTTGAGCAGTAAATGGATTTTTATGGGGCTAGTGTCAGTGAGTGTGTCTATATCAGTATATCATTAGGTTATTGTTCTTCATTAAATTTAATTAAATGGGGGAGGGTGCAGGGGGGTCCGTATTTGTAAAAGCCTCATAGAGGCAGAAATGTCTGAGACAATCTTGAGGACCCCCTGATCACTGGGTAAAGGCCGCCATGACTGCTGGAAGGATGTCAAGGTAAAGGGCGCTCTTACAAATTATGTAGCACTATGGCATCACTCTTCACTGTGATGTCTGTAGATAGTGGGAACTCTGTAAACAATTAGGTATGTGAGGGTAGTATTCACCTGAAGCTGTTCCAACCACCTGGAAAGTTCCCACTGGTCCTCCTTGTTCAGCTATTGCCATGGCTTTAATGGCAGATTTAAAAATACCAGCATTTAAATGGTCCCTGTTCCACACCGTCTGTGGGGTTTGGTTAGTGGGATGACTGCCTGGAACAGTTAAGTGGCAATGGTTAAGATAGGCGTTCAGGCTTTTATAATAAATAGGCTCTTACAGTTTATTCATGAATGACACATAGTTCCTATTAGACATAATTTGTTGCTTTCCTTGGATGTTAGAATCAGGTTGTTGTTATAAGCAATACAGCTGTGGCCTTGCTCTTCCAACACAAAGAATATTCTGGCGTCATTATTTGGACAAGGCCAATATTCTAGGATGTGGGATCTGTTGTTGACTTATGCCTACACTTCTGATTAGTCATGCTGCCCACCTTACATGCTTGAATGAAAACCGGTACAATTTAAAACAGAAAATGCATTACACTCCTAGGAGCTTGCGTTCATGGGCATTTGATTGTGTCAGAATTGCTTTTCTCCCAAGCCAATTAAACTACAAAAGCAGGTCAGAAGCAACTCAGAGTATGATCAAATTCAAGCTGAAGGCATCTGAAAACACAGCTTTGCCTGCCTGTACAAACCCTTATGGTCTTCCTAAACGATGCCTCCTCCTCAAGTCCTAGCTACACACAATGGACTTACCATTACAATTTAGAACAAAAGCAAAAAATGTGCCCACAGTAACCCATCAGATGTGTTTTCATGTTCAAATTAGCTACTGAAGTCCCCCCGTTGTATGAAGGCATTCTTCTTCATCCACATACATTCTTTGCCCCGGTTTTCATAAATCGGCACCCCCTTAATGACGGCAACGTAGTGCATACAGTACAAATAAGGTCACCGTTAACATTTATTTAATTTCTTCTTTTGCAGGGGCACAGGCTCCAAGTTCTTGTAGGATTGGGTTTAAAGGGAGAGGGATCGAGAGCTGAGCACTACACATGGGGGGAGCAGGAAAGAAAATACGCCGGGATTTCTGGAATCAAAGACTGACGAATACATTGCAATCCCGGCACAACTCCACTACAGCCCAGTACATATATATGCCTGCAGCAACATGGCATCTTGGTAATGTGTGCAGAGACTTGGTAATCGTGGAGCTGTCACAGCTGCCTTGTGTGTGCCCGAGGCAAAAAGTATGGAGGAAGAGATTCACTGCTGCTTCTTCCATACTCCAAGCAGTGTGTATCTGCCAACTTTTCCTCCCTTTTCGGATGACATCATCAAAAAACTTTAAAGGAAAGGTAGTTCCTATTTTTACCGAAATAGTTGCACCCCCCTATTTGTTGCCAGTAAATGACTTCTGACTGCCACGGTTGGAACGCCTTCTTCCCCCCCTGCTCTGCCCCTTGTTTTAGCAGCCTGGAGCCCTCTCTCAGCCCTCTCTGCCCCCTGTACAGACACCAACCTGGATCTCCGGAGAAGAATGGTTACTTAAAACGCAAGCTTTGTACGCACTGGAGGCTCCTTACATCAATTTATACGCTTCTTCCTCTCATCTCCGCTCTGTGCCTGCTTCAGTCAAGCAAAATCATAAGAATAAAAAAAAAATTAGCATCAGCACTACGTCTCTTGTGTGAGTCACTGAAGGTGGGGAGGGGAGCGCGAGGCAAGAATGAAACAGGTCAACCTAGCTGAAAATGAAGGAACAAGGGACAGAGTGGCGTGTTATACGGAGGAGGCTGCTACAGGCAAGAGCAGCAATTATGCAGGTGATCTAGCTGAGAAGGGCAATCTGGGGTCCTCCACCTGGTGGTGGACTACAAGTCCTATGGCGTCCTTCCTACAGAGAGCAACGATTCCGTTCACAGTGCCACAACTAGGGCTGCAGCTAACGATTATTTTCATAATCGATTAGTTGGCCGATTATTAAGTTCGATTAATCGGTTAATCGGATTTAAAAAAAAAGGCTCCAGTGATGGACTACTAGTTTGACAACCACAGCAACAGTAGAGCTCACTTTTTATCAACCCAAAGCAATCAGAGAAAGTAAAGATTAAAGGAGAACTATGAGGTGAGTGCTTTTCACTCACCTCATAGTTCTAGCCGACCTGTGACAGTAGATCGGGAGGTGAGCGAACACATACCGGCGTTCGCTCAATTCTCGATCCTGTCACGGCTCTCTGCCGTGACAGGGGAGGGGCTGGATTCCCCGCTCCGCCAGCGCTGACTGGCGGAATGGACGGGGGAGGGTACAGCTGGCTCTGCCTCTAGATAGGCAGAGCCAGCTGTCAGTCACGCAGCTGGGCGGATCCAGACATAATTGTCGGGATCCGCTTTAGCTGCGGCGTCTCAGTATACTGGGCCTAGGGTGACGGGAGGAAGCTAGTTTGTGACCTTCCGTTACCCTAAGGAGAACTATGGGGAAAAGCCTTAACCCCATAGTTTTCCTTTAAAGAGACTCTGTTACTTTTTCCTGTTCAGAGCAAAGTAACAAAGTCTCTTTGGGGAGACCCTGTCGCCAACCTAAAATATTGCAGGTAAAAGCACAGAAAAATCGAGTATGTTAAGTGCTTACTTGCAGTGATATTCCCTTTCCATAAATGATGTTTTATTTACTTGCAATGGCGATGCCAAGCAGCAGTCTCGGGGCTTATGGATGTCTACACAAGGGAGGCTTTTGCAAGTAAATGACATGCATAAAAAAAAAGGAATGCACATAAAATCATATGGGAAGATTGTTGTTGAAATGAATGGTCTGGCAACAGGGTCTGACTGTGTTGCTAAAATCGAAAGGCCAGTAAAAGATGTCCCTGCAAGAAGTAAATACCTACCACTGCTGGGCCTGGATCATCAGGCGTGATGATCTCCTGGTCCCCCCGCGGTGTTCATTGCTTATCCCCTACCAACACCTGTGTCGTTACAGGAGACATTAGTGACATAGGGGTCAGTAGGAGAAACCACTGAGCAGGTGACCAGTCGCTCCTGGATAGGGTTGCTACCTGTCCAGGATTCACCCGGACAGTTCGGGTTTTGAATGCTGTGTCCGGGTTTCATGGCAGCAGAAACCCGGACACAAGATGTCAGGCACACAGGAGAAACCAAAATTAAGATAGGGGCTACTGGCCCCACACTGAAAATAGTCTCAACTGTGATATTTACATATGAAGGGGCGGCACTATTCACATATGAAAAAGCCGCAACTCATTCTTCCAAGAAAATTTCCGTGTGTTGCTAGAGTGTTTGGGTTTCGATGGAAGAAAAGGTGGCAACCCTACTCCTGGATGTACTGGGGGATTTCAGGGAGAAAATGTATTTTCATTACAGCAGCGCGGGCAACTGGAGAGGTAAATATTTGATCATTATATATCATTTTTGCAAGGAACTCTTTTATTAACATATTTTAAAGGAGAACTATGGGGTTAGGGTTTTTCCCCATAGTTTTCCTTAGGGTAACAGGAGGACACAAACTAGCATCCTCCCGTTACCCTAAGCTCAGTATACCGCGAGCTACAGCTCGCGGTATACTGAGACGCCGCAGCCGGAGAGGATCCCGACTTAGATGACGGGATCCGCCCAGCTGCGTGAGTGACAGCTGGCTCTGCCTATCTAGAGGCAGAGCCAGCTGTACCCGCCCCCTCCCCCGTCCGTTCCGCCAGTCAGCGCTGGCAGATCAGAGCAGGGAGAGGGGAATCCAGCCCCTCCCCCTGTCACGGCAGACAGCCGTGACAGGATCGAGAGGTGAGCGAACCCGGTATGTGTTCCCTCACCTCCCGATCTACTGAGCCGACCTGTGACAGTCTCATTGTCACAGGTCGGCTAGAACTATGAGGTGAGTGAAAAGCACTCACCTCATAGTTCTCCTTTAACAACAGAGAACCTTTAAAGCCCACTACTACTCATTTGTGCAGTGCTCCCCTACTGCTCCTTTCTCTAATGCAGCCACTGCCAATTACCTGTTGCTTCTGGGTATAGGAAGCATATGACCTCCTGTCATCATACAGTGCCGGGGAGTGAGCAGCCAATCATTAGGCTCAGAGAGTGTCACTTGATGGAGGAGGTGACATCATCAACCCTGTGTAAGCTCAAGAATAGAGCTTACACTGTGTGTTTGATGGAGGAACCGAACGACTTGGGAATATGTCTGTGAAGGGTCTCATTCATCCAGGTCATGGTATATCTGTAAAAAATAAGTCAAGGCAACTGGACTTGCTGTATTTTTTCTTGAAGACGTTTCACTGGTCGCCCAACCAGCTTTCTCAATTCAGTATGACTTGTACAAAAATTATCTGGGGATAAATGTGGTGAATGTAGCTCCAATCCACATCATATGTTAGTGGCAACCAGGTGTTGATTGCATTTACATAATTGGAGCTAGGAGGTGTTATTAACCTGCCCAGAGAGAGGTGTTAAAACAGTATTGTATGTTGCAGACAATAGAAAAAAGGTCACTCCTTTGATGACAGTCAAGTACACATCCTAGACAGGGAGGAGGAATGGTTTAAAAGAGGCCATTTATGTAAAAATGGAGAAGCCAAGCTTGTATAGAGAGGGGGGGGGGGGGGGGGGGATGGGCAGGTTAATAACACCTCCTAGACTCCAATTATGTAAATGCAATCAACACCTGGTTGTGACTAACAGATTATGTGGATTGGAGCAACATTCAGTATATTTATTTCCAGACAATTTTTTTACAAGTCATTCTGAATTGAGAAAGCTGGTCGGATGACCCGTGAAACGTCTTGAAGAAAAATACAGCAAGTCCAGTTGACTTGGCTTTTTTTTTACCGGTATACTTGGGAGCAATGTGAAGAGAACTATAAGTGGGTCTGGGGTGGGCTTTAAAGTGACATTAATCCCTCAGATTTTTTAACATAAAACAATACTGTAATGTGCGCCTTACTGTAATCCATGGTAGTTTCCCTTCTCTTTGCTGCTCTTCCTTTTAAATCCTCATGTCTTCTCATGCTGGGGGAGAACTTCCCTTTGCAGCTGAGTGACTCTTCCTGTAGTGCTGGCTTAGGTTGTGAACCTACACACAGACACCATGTATCCATTCCTGAGACAAGGCAGTCTGCTGCAAAACAGAAGTTCTGCCCAGCATGAGAAGAGATACAGATTTAAAAGGAAGAGCAGCAAAGAGAAGGGAAACTACCATGGATTACAGTAAGGCACACATTACAGTATTGGTTTATGTTAAAAAATCTGAGTGTTTAATGTCACTTTAAAGAGACTCCATCTCATTGGCCATACAGGAAACCTAGGGAAGTATGACGGCCAACTTTGCTGTACTTTCCATCTGAAAATGTTGCTGTCTGGCTGTCATGCTGATATAATAGTTCATCTGAACAAATCCTGACCACTGAACAAGGAGTTCTCACTACAACTATCCTAATCTGCAAGCTTGTCCCAGGTCAGTGACTCAGAAAGTATTAAAGCCAAAGACAGCCAGGCAGCTAGCATTTTCAAAAGTAGATCAGCAATGGCAGCCTGTGTATTCTTTTCAGCTATGGTTCCCTTTCATTCGCATTTGGCTCCTTGCCGTATTAAATAAGCCCACGGATGGAGAGAGAAAGGGAAGGGGTGGCTCTGAGTAAGGACTGACTTCTCCGGGATACAGAAGAGTTAATAAGTCAGCTGCAGATGTTCCCAGACGTGGAAAAGTCAGTGAGCAGTGACTCCAGTAATTCCAAATCATGCTTCCTGCCGCTGACAGATCACATTCACCTAATGAGATCAAGCATCGCATCAGTGGCTGCAGGACTCAGTGTCTCCCAGCACCCACCAAGCTTCATGCTAGGAGCCTCCGTGTGCGCCATGCAAGGGGCTGCGTACACACTACAGAGCAGTAGGAAGCAATGACCTGTAACCTGGAGCACACATATTCTATCATTGGGATCCCCGTAATGCTGGGCACACACCTTACAGCCATCGCAAGACTTTTGTACTTAAAAAAACGTAAGATCTGCCTATCTTGGACAGGCAGATCGTACTTGCGATGATCGCGAGGGGCGGGCTTCCGATGACCGCAATGCCGAACGGGCCCGTCCGGCTTTTATCTTACGAACATGCTACACACCCGCCGAACATCATACGATGCTCGGCGGGTTTTCAAACATGTTCGTAAGTTAAAAGTCGTGCGACCTTACAGTAGTAGAGGTCGCACGGCTTCCACACACCTTACGAAAATCGTACGATCGCGGGATTTCCCGCGATTATCGTAAGGTGTGTGGGCACCCTAAAGGTGGCCATACACTTTACAACCATCGCAAGACCTTAGTCTTGCGATGGTTGTAAAGTGATTAAAAAAATGTACGATCTGCCCATCTTGGACAGGCAGATCGCACTCTCGATCATCGCAAGCCCGCCCCCCTGAGGGGCAGGCTTCCGATGACCGCAATGCTGAACGGGCAGTGTGCCCGTGCGCACACCGGCCCGTTCGGCATTTGGCCCCCGAGCACCGTTCAAACCAGCCGAAAATCGTACGATTTTCGGCTGGTTTT